TGTAACGAAGACGATTTGTTTTTGTAAAGTACCGCCACATTTTTTCTTTTAATGTTCGATTGAATCTCTCAACTATAGCCGCCTTAATATCTTCATTCTCAGTGGTAAAGAAATGAACGCCTTCATCTTTAAGAAATTTTAAAAATGTCTTGTTGACAAATTCACTACCTTTGTCTGTTTGAAAATTTATAGGTTTCCTAGTCGTAAATATTTTACGTACGGCCTCCACTAGCGCCTTACCCGTTTTTTTCTTTATCGGAATCGCCCAGGCGAATTTGCTAAACACATCGATGCAGGTCAGTAGGTAAGAAGCACCACCATTGTGCTTTCGTAACATGCGCATATCTATGAGATCCGCTTGAAACTGGTAATTTATCCCACCGGTGATGGTGGCGCGCCTCTGAAAGCGTCGCCGAAGAGGTTTATGTAACGTGTAGGTATCCTGATGACTTAACCATTCTTTAATTTTCTTACTTCCAAATTTCAGGGTGCTTAAACACGCCGCCGTAGGCGCCTGGTCTACTAGGATCATAGTAATGTCTTTTTAGTGTTTGATTTTTTCCCACGCGTCCCATTTGGTAGTGCTTGTTTTAGTTTTCTTACTTCTGGTACGTATCGAGGGTGGTGTTTTTTCTACGTGTGTCTTCGTTTTCTTCGAGGGGCGAATTTCAGAGTCAGGCGAGACGAATTTCGTTTTAGTTTCAGATTCTGTTATGTCTATCGTTTCTTTTTTAGGATCGGTTATATTTTCATTTGGTTTTTCAACCTCGGTCGTTGGGGTATTCACGGTGGGTGGTTTCACATCGACTAATCCTAGGGACTTGTTTCTATAATCGCTAAGTCGCGACGTGTAGAGCTGTAGTGTCTTTTGATATTGTCTCACTTTGTCGTGTGGTGACAAATCTTCCCTATTTAAGATATGTTCCATTTGCATATCCAAAAGGCGTAGACTATCATTGAGTGTGTCGGGTGGTACATAGGTTTTTTGTTGCATAGACTCTAATATACGAGGATCCATTAAAAGCATTTTCCTGGCCATCCTTAAAATCCCAAGACACCTTTAAGTACACCGAGAACTGGTCCGAGTAAAGCACCTAGGAAACCGCCGGTCTGCAAAATTTGCTTTCGTCTTTTGACGGTCAATTACTTTTTGGTAAGTTGTCTCAAGTTCACTTTGTCACGACGCAAACGTCTCTTCTGACCGGGGGTGAGGGGAAAGTTGCCTTTTAAGACATTGTGACAGCACTCGCATAACGTTTTTACGAGTTGTGTGGTAGCATTTTCGACAACGGCTTTCACGGCGGGTGGTTTGGCCCGAGCCAAAAACCTTAACATCTCACTTTGTCGTTTTACCGACTCAGACATGGTTGCTTTTATTTCGGGACGTAAACGACTTGCTGCTCGTAAGAAAAGATACTACTGCGTAATCTCAGATTATCCGGTGTTTCCTGTCGAAGGTCGATCAACAAATAACCATGAGGGGCCGAAGTTGCGTCCTTAAAACTTTCCTGGACATATGAAACGCGACCGGGATACATTTGTTTTGCCAAATTTGTAATTTGTGAACCGTCTCTAGGGTTCTTGAACAACACGATGTAATGCGAATTGAGACTGATTGTTCTTTGTTCTTTATTTTTCCCGAATAGATTTTGGACAATATACATGACACTAATATTACGATGGTGGCTTCCTTTCGTAAACAATTTTGTAATTCGCTCATCTGTTTCCGCCATCAAATCATCGATGACGACTAGACGTCGACGTTTTCCATCCCCCATTGATCCATTTTCTAAGTCAGGAAGACCTTCTACAAACTGAACGTTCTTCATGGTATCAAACAAAGGCTGCCACTCCCCGTAACAGTAATAAATTTCCTCAGGTGCAGGATCCATCATCTCTGACACCTGGGATAAAAATGTTTTGACAAATACTGTTTTACCACTCCCAGTTGGCCCAGCGATCAGAGCGGTAAACGGATGTTTCCATCTCGGATCCATCGTTTTAAATGGTTGATTTTGCTTCCAGTCAAAAATCTTATATAGGATACCGAGTTACAGGTACAAGTAACAAAACAATAACACATACTTGTCTTTTAATATAAAAGTAAGAAAGTGAGTTTCTGTGATTGTGTGAATGTGTATACCTTTAACATAATCGTACCAGAAACTTAAAAACCCATGACACTGTACGTTTAAGTGTTAGTGGAAAGTGTGGTACCAGCTGTTGCACAGCTGTCAAACCGATCGGGGAAAAATCCATTACAGTGGTAACATCTGTCGCTACACTTAACGGTGGCTTTGCGGTTAACCACTTAGCTCTTTCGATTAAACGCGGGACCCCTGCTGTGTTCGCTTCAGCGAACTCGTCATAAATCCATGATGCGTGACCAAATTTAATTAGGTGTGATGGCCCCGTGGGTGCGATCGATATTAGCTAGCCCTTGTACGGGCCTTCTAAAAAAAACCAAAGGATCGCGGATCGATATGTAACAGCTGTCGCTGATCGTTATCTTTAATGAATGTTCTATTTTCGGTACACGTTCGTTGTGTTGGCGAATGGTCCCTATACAAAGTACACGCTAGTGTTAGTCTTTTATTTTAAACACCATACAACAAAGAAATTAAAATCAAACTAATTAAAATGAATTTTTGAACAAATAAACAACAAGTAAACAATCAAATTAAACAATTTAAAATTTAAAAATAATAATTTAAAAAATTTAAAAATTTAAAAAATTTAAAAAATTAAAAAAATTAAAATCAAATTACGTAACTCGTTAATAATAATAATTAAACTAATTATAAAATTAAATTAAAAATTTAAAAATTTAAAAAATTAAAATCAAACTACGTAATTCGTTAATAAAAATTACACAATATAAACAAAGTAATTAAATTAAACAACAAGTAAACAAACAAATTAAAGAATTTAAAAAATCAAACAAATAATCAAATTACGTAGCTCGTTAATAAAAACTAATTAAAATTTTAAAAACTCATTAAAACTCATTAAAAACGCGTTAAAATTACGTAACTAGGTCAATGATTACGTCATAATGTCACTGATTACGTCACAAGGTCAGTAATTACGTCACAAGGTCAACGGAGATTACGTCACCCCTCCTGCTCCGCCAACCCCAGTTGGCGTAGTATTTTACTATATCTCGTTGTCCCGCCGGCGCATATTGCTCCCCCTGCGATGCGCCAGGCTGCGGCAGGGGATAGAGTATTTTGCTATATGTCATTGTCCCTCCGGCGCATCCTGCTCCCGAGTATTTTACTATATGTCATTGTCCCTTCCCGCATCCTGCTCCGCCAAAAATGATACCCAAAAGGGACCTAATATACTACTCAGGAATGGTGAAAGTAGGCAACCCTGCCTTACTCCGGTCCGTACTGGGAAGGCCTCTGTAGTCTGTTGGCCATGCACTACTCTACATTTGAGACCTTCATATGAAGACATAATAATGTTGACTATTTTCTGTGGCACCCCGTAGTGTCTCAACAATTTCCACATTGACTGCCTATCCAGGCTATCAAAGGCCTTCTCATAGTCTATGAAATTAATATAGAGAGATGAGTTCCACTCTTGGGTCTGTTCAATGATGATGCGCAGGGTAGCAATTTGGTCTATGCATGACCTTTCCTTCCTAAAGCCCGCCTGTTGATCTCGAAGCTGGGGATCTATGGCTTCCTTCATTCTGTTTAAAAATATTCTGTTGAAGACTTTGCCTGGGATGGACAAAAATGTTATCCCTCTATAGTTAGAGCATGCACTAAGATCGCCTTTCTTTGGAAGCTTTATGAGTAGTCCCTCCTTCCACTCCTCTGGTATTTGTTCATCTTCCCAGATTTTCTTGAAGAGTGTGTATAGTAGTGTGGTGCTAGTTTCTATATCTGCTGTCAGTGCTTCTGCCGGTATACCATCTATTCCTGGAGCCTTCCAATTTTTCAGCTCCTTTATAGCTCTATGTATCTCTTCTTTTGAAGGTTAGTTGCAGTCTATAGGGAGGTCACTTTCAGCTGGTGGTATGTCTTGCGTGCACTCTGGTGTTGGTCTATTCAGTAGTTCTTCAAAATGTTCTACCCATCTCTTCATCTGTCCTTCCGCATCAGGTATTGTCTTTCCATCTTTGGTTTTCACTGGCCTCTCTGGCTTACTGTACTTACCAGATATCTTCTTAATTGTATTGTACACGTTTCTAATATTACCATGGTACAGTGCTTCTTCCGCTTCTCTTGCCAGCAGTTCCAAATAGCTCCGTTTGTCTTTCCTTATGTGTTTCTTGACGTTTTTGTTCGTTTCGGTGTATTCTTCCAGTGCTTTTAATTTCGTAGCCCGTGTGCGGCTGTTGTTTAATGTTGCCTTCTTTCTTTTTCTCTCTTCAATAATTTTCATGGTATCTGCTGATATCCATTCCTTCGCTTGTCTTTTGATAGGGCCTAGCACTTCTTCGCATGTTGATGTTAATATACTTTTAGTTTTTTCCCATGTTTCCTCTATCGTCTCTTCTTCTATTAGTTCTTGTAGTACCTGGAACCTATTGGACATATGAAGTTTAAATTCGTTGAGTTTAGATGGGTCCTTGAGCAGGCCTGTGTTGTACCTGTATTTCCTTTTGTTTTCCAACATGTTTTTCTTCAGCTTGAGTTTTACTTTAGCTACCAGTAGGTGATGGTCTGAAGCAACATCAGCTCCTCTCTTGACGCGTACATCCTGAAGTGATCTCCTGAACTTTTTTATGATACATATATGGTCTATCTGGTTTTGATATTATATTGATACAATATTGATATAATATTGATATAATATAGATATAATATTGATATAATATTGATATAATATTGATATAATATTGAAATAAATATTGATATATAATATTGTTTTTAAAATTTATATAATATTTATATAATATTTATATAATATTTATATAATATTTATTTTATATTTATATAATATTTATATAATATTTATATAATATTTATATTATATTTATATAGCTCCAACGGATTCTGATTCTCCTTATGGTAGGTAAAAAACGGATATTTTAAATATTGCCTTTTATTTATTTTTTACTCGGAATGTATTGTTTATTAGTTTATTTCTTTTAGTCAATACCAGTTTAGTCAATCTTTCCGTTTCCGGAAAAGCTTGGGATATTATAGCCGATCACTTTTGAATCAGAAGCGTTCGTTGGCTCTATCATGTCAGCGCTTTAGTGCATACCTTTGTTTTCGATAAGAAGAGTTATTATAGTCCTTCACTATATTGAATCCGGGCGTCTTTCTTCACGCTGACAAGGTGCTATTGGGCGCCATGGCCTTACGGCGAGCGCTATTGCGTATACGATCGGATTAGTGAGTTAAACAGACTAACGATAAGATGGGTATTATAGTTGTTTAACAAGTTGATTCAGGCGGGTCTTCCGACGCCTCCGGAAGGTGCAATTTGGCGACCCGTGCTATAATGTGAGAACTATGCGTTTATATTTACATTAAAATTTGTGTTTATGTTCTGTGTTATTGATTGCGTTAATGTAGGCATTTTCGTCTGTATTTTAGTTTGGGTTTGAGTTTTTTTGTGTGTTATGGTTGCGTTTGTGTTTGCTTTTGTGTTTGTGTTTGCTTTTATGTTTGCATTTGTGTTTGCAATTGTACTTATGTTTGCGTTTTCTTTGTGTTTGTATTATATTTGTGTTTGTTTTTGTGTCGTTTTTTCTTTGTTTTAGTTAGTGTTAAGTTTAAAGTTAGAGTTCATTGCCGGTTATATGATGCTTAATAAACACAAAAGTCATGGTCCTTTACAGAAAGTGATTCACAGAGGTCAGTGCATGACTTTGCCGGTATATATATATATATATATATATATATATATATATATATATATATATATATATATATATATATATATATATATATATATATGTATATATGTATATATGTATATATGTATATATATATATATATATATATATATATATATATATATATATATATGTATACATATATATTTATAGGTCCTTGAGAAATTATCTCCGAATAAAAGATATCACGGACAAATGACCTGCGCGACAAACGATCTCAGACAAAATGTCTCACAGCAAAATAGTTATAATATTAAGACTTACTTTAACCCTTTATCTACTGACGGTACTTATAAGTACCACTTTAACTAAGTGCCTGTATTATTTTTAATTTAATACGAATTTTAAAAATTATTGATGTAATTAATAGTGTTATCTCCCCTGAGTCTCCATTAGTTAGAGGGATCGATGTATTTTGAAAAATGTTTGTGTGCTGCCAATTTCAATGTCTTGCTGTATCGGTAGTTCACAATTTTTCTGTAACGTTCTCACACACGTTCCTGATTTCCCTTTGTTTTAACTTATTATTGAAGTTTTCATCCCCAAATATTTTTTATTGGCATCTCCAATAGTCAGGCAAACGCATTTAACTTCTAGTTATACAATTTTAATCAAATTGTTTTTGTATTAGATCGATGTTTACAAGTGGACTTATAAGTACCGTCAGGGCACACGGTCATTTTTTTTTATTTTTAGGAAATGGCAGATTTTCGATGTAGAGTGACATAAATATTAGTTTGATAATTAATTATTGAAATGTACTCAAAAACTGATATTTACACATTTATAAGAAGGTTACCATATGGTTTACCTAAGAAATATTATAATTATATGTTGATTTCTAGTAGTAAAAGAATAAGAACAATAAAGGTAGCAGTTGAGGGCTCGTTTACTAGGTTTGGTATACTTCATGTGTATACCAAAGCCTAGTTCTAGTAGTAAGATTTAATGTGTTAGTTATATTTACTACAATAAACTGTCTTGCCTACAATAACTAGTATTTACGTAATGTATACCGGTAGACTAGTAATAGTCCATACTTCTGCATATAGTATCGATGTATATGGTAAATTTTAATCCGTAAACAGGAAACAATAGGCCACTTCGGCTATCCTAAACACATTGCGCTCACTTCTATTTATGAACTTTACACTGTAGTATAGACTTGTCATAACATTCTAGTAGGCTAAAATTATACTAGTATTACTAGTAGCTGTGTACTGAATGACTAGGCTTTTGTTAGTTTATGCAGCTCATTGTAAGTAATATCTATTGGAAGCAAAAGCATGTTCAGTCCGGCAACCGTTGCTATACTAGAATGACCACAGACAAGAATGAGGGAGCATGACATGTCGGCAACTTTTGCTGTGTTTAAGGTCTAAGATGTGTTCCGACAGAAAATCCAATAAAAATCGTACTCAAATATACTTTTGTGCTGTATTTATGTGTGAAAATTAAAAAAAATGACTGTTATAATGATTGCCATGTTATTAGTTAATAAATTGTATCGTTTGTTCCTGTTTTGTAAAAAAATTTTTTTTTTGAAAAAATGTCCTACATTCCTGACGGTACTTATAAGTACCAATATCTGTTTGGGCCATTAAAAATTTATGAAACGAAATTTCCTTCGACATATGCTTTAAATGTGCCAAAAGCAATATGATAACACATTGTTTAAGTAAAAAATTCATTCAGAACATAATTCCGTAAATAAAGGGTTAAAAAACATCAAAAAGTTTTTTAAATTTAATTTTATTATTGTAGATTTTTAGGGAATTATTGTTTTCGTAATGAAATTACATTAAAAGCAGTGTTTCTTTCAGACTTTTTTTCTCCAGGGAAGGGGGGAGGCACTTGTAATGTTCGTGAGGTGGGGTGGGGTGGGCGGACAATGGTAAAAGTATTTATTATCTATTTAAATTCTATTTCTTCCGGTGGGGGGGGGGGGGTTGGGGCGGGAGACGTAGACCCCCAAAGAGATGACTGGAAAATACTATAAACCCTAGCAGCGTTAATTTGGTTTTTTTATTTCACTTATACATGTTCTATTTAACGTATGTTATTTTATTTACCTTGTATAAGTAATTGCTTTTAAAAATGAATATTTTAAATTTAATAAGTCTTTTGAAGAGAAATTGGGCTTCCACTGTTCCTTTGTCATATGTATTTATAGTTACATTACACACTGAATTTGTATTGAAAAAAAAATTATCATTGTTTCCTAATTTTTATCTTGTAATTTTTTAAGGAGACTGTGTTCCGTTAACAAGTGAAATAATTAAAACCCGAAACGTAACATCAGCCCTGGTAATGTATTTAAAGTGCATACCTATACCCATATTACTGTACTTACTAACATCAATTTACATCCTAATACATATCCATAGGTATCTGAATATACAACTATGGTTTATTTTAGACGATCCAGATTCCCGTTCGGACATAGTCGGTCGATTGCTTTGCACGACACAAACCAATATTCAATAAGCCCGTCCCAAACACTATAGTCTTTTAACCCCAAATCAATCCCAGTTATTTAAACTATCATTTATGACTTCCGTTTGAAAGAAAAAAGAGGTGGGGGGGGGGGGGGGGCTGGGTCACTGTGTACTCTTGCAGAAATGGAGATCGATTTAGGTTGACTAAGAAGTAACTTTTACACATCAAAAATAAGATTGGCATAATAAAATCAAACGTAAAAAAACATATTAGTAATAATATTTTCGCTCTTCTGTCAGTCATTCTGGAACTATCTAGAAAAACATAAGCAATATAAAACACCATATAACTTTTGTATTTGTATCTGTATCTGTATCTGTATCTGTATCTGTATCTGTATCTGTATCTGTATCTGAATCTGTATCTGTATCTGCATCTGCATCTGCATCTGCATCTGCATCTGTATCTGTATCTGTATCTGTATCTGTATCTGTATCTGTATCTGTATCTGTATCTGTATCTGTATCTGTATCTGTATCTGTATCTGTATCTGTATCTGTATCTGTATCTGTATCTGTATCTGTATCTGTATCTGTATCTGTATCTGTATCTGTATCTGTATCTGTATCTGTATCTGTATCTGTATCTGTATCTGTATCTGTATCTGTATCTGTATCTGTATCTGTATCTGTATCTGTATCTGTATCTGTATCTGTATCTGTATCTGTATCTGTATCTGTATCTGTATCTGTATCTGTATCTGTATCTGTATCTGTATCTGTATCTGTATCTGTATCTGTATCTGTATCTGTATCTGTATCTGTATCTGTATCTGTATCTGTATCTGTATCTGTATCTGTATCTGTATCTGTATCTGTATCTGTATCTGTATCTGTATCTGTATCTGTATCTGTATCTGTATCTGTATCTGTATCTGTATCTGTATCTGTATCTGTATCTGTATCTGTATCATGTATCTGTATCTGTATCTGTATCTGTATCTGTATCTGTATCTGTATCTGTATCTGTATCTGTATCTGTATCTGTATATGTATCTGTATCTGTTTATGTATATGTATCTGTTTATGTATTTGTATCTGTTTATGTAACTGTATTTGTATCTGTATCTGTTTTGTATTTGCATCCATATCTGTATCTGTATCTGTATCTGTATCTGTATCTGTATCCGTATCTATATCTGTAACCGTATCTACATCTACATCCGTATCTACATCTACATCTTCATCTACATCTACGTCTACGTCTACGTCTACGTCTACGTCTACGTCTAAGTCTACGTCTACGTCTACGTCTACGTCTACGTCTACATCCGTATCTACATCTACATCTGCATCTTCATCTTCATCTTCATCTACGTCTACGTCTACGTCTACGTCTACGTCTACGTCTACGTCTACGTCTACGTCTACGTCTACGTCTACGTCTACGTCTACGTCTACGTCTCCGTCTACGTCTCCGTCTCCGTCTCCGTTCCCGTCTCCACCTCCACCTCCACCTCCACCTCCACCTCCACCTACACCCACACCCACACCCTCACGCACACCCACACCCACACCCACATCCACATCCACATCCACATCCACATCCACATCTACATCTATATCTATATCTGTATCTGTATCTGTATCTTTTTATGTTTCTGTATTTGTATCTGTGTCTGCATCTGTCTCTGTGTATGTGTCGGTGACTGTATCTAGATCTGGATCTTAATGTTTATATGCTTCTGCGTATACGCTTGTGTTTGTGTATGTTTCTACGTCAAAATAGAACACTTACTTAAAGTTAAACTATTTTTTTGGCACAGAAATGCTACTCAGTTTGTAGGATAGAACAATGCTACTCTTTCAAGTTTGCCAATGGTCTGTGTACAATCAAGCTCTATGCTGGGGAGCCTGTAGATTTTAGTCAAAATGTAGTTGCAGGATCATTTATCTCATGCTACAATGAAAACTGTAAGTGTTTCGTTGTGTAAATTAGTTTTGCTAAGCGTAATGTAAACTCCTTAACTGGGCTTTCCTAATATGACCTGAATTGACAGAACTTATGCTAAAGAAATAATACCCATACTCATACTAGTAACTCTACCCGTTGTTGGATTCTTCATTGTCTAGGGGCATACATATAGCAACAGAAAAATACAACGTATACAACAGTAGATAACAATAACACTCTATAATAATAATAATAAGAAATGTAATATATATACAGTAATAAAATCATAAAAGATCGAAGGGGTCTACAACATACATAACAATACTCAACACCACGTTCCACGTCCACAGCCACGTCCACAGCCACACTACAACTAACTGTTTACACACTAGCACACGCTCTGACACCCGTCACCTGGCACACCTCAACCAAGGGATACAACTATACACCAAAGGGAGGGTACCTGTCGTTCCAGCACACAACACACTTACACACAAGCAGGGGAAATGTAAGGGACGTAACACTCGTCGTCGTTACTTATACCGTTTAACTTAGCTTCAACATTATCGTCAATTTCAAAAGTAAACAGCGATTGTTGTCTTCGCAATGCTGAGCTCTGTAAAATGATCTCGAAAAACCACCACCTCTTTTACGGACGGGTTTTTAAATCTTTTTATAAAAAAAAATTGAATCTATTAAGTCCCAGAAATAGCATAATTTTAATCAATTTTTTTTACAAGGACAACAGATTAAAGTTATAAGCAAACTTGACCTTGTGTTGTTGTATAAATGTGATATGTATCCTTTTTTTTTTTAAATTGCATGAAAAGTTAGAGTTCAATCTAAAGTGGTTAAAGAAATGCTAATTGTAGACAATTGTAAAATTTGTAGCCTGCGTAAAAAATATTTAAACTATTTCTTTTGTCTGATCGTTTTGATAGTGTATTAAAAAATTGTTTTTCTGTGTATGCATTTAAAAATGTACATTTTTATGTAGCACAGTGCACTTTAAAAAGCGATGTAAATTCTTACATACCCCTCACTGGCGAGCCTCACGAGGTAAAGTTATGTGTTTTTGGACATACACACTTTAAATAAATCTAGATGTTTAAAAACGTCATTTAAAAAGAATTATATCAGAAAACTGTAAAGTGACAAGATAGAATATAAATTTAATCATTCAATGTCGATTCATGATTTTGAATTTAGAAATAATTGATTTTTATATCTATTTTGAGGTTTTATATTTTTATCTCTTTACAACCAATATCCAATTATACTTAAATTTAAACTTATATTTTAAGTTTGAAATATGGGGTTCAGTTTAAAACTTGTTTGGTAAGGTTTGTACATCCTTTACTTTGTTTGCTTGTGTTTTTTTTTTTTAGTTTTGTCTAGTCCAGCCCTTCAATTCATTAATGGTGTCTTCTTCTTTCTTAATTATACTGCACGGGATATTCTTATTTATAATGACTCTGACTTCATCCAACTTTTCATTCTGGATTTGGCACCATAGCCTGTGCCCGCCCAAGAACAAACTACTTGACTGTTAAGCAACCACGAGCTTTACCGACAGGACCACGCCAACCCCAATAATAGTGTCTGACCAGAGAATGTATTGAACTCTTCTTTGACAGCTGTTGGTGAATGTCTGTACATTCTCGGTGGTAGTGTAAGATGAACACCTCTCTGTTCCCTACAGCAAAACAGGTTTTATGTAAGATTGGTTTTCAAATGCAGGCATGCTGGGGTCCATATATTTTTATGTTCAGGAAGGCAGCCTTAGCTTAATCTGTCCTTGCTACGCTTGGTAACTCCTTCTGATCTAGACTTAATTTATCAATACCTCTCTGTTCCCGACAGCAAATCAAAGCATAAATATTAATGGAGGAGGTGGGGGGGGGGGGCTTGGAGTGGTCGGGCGGGTAATCTCATGCTTGCTAACCCGTAAAATTTTGAGTTTGAACACTCGGGCAGTTGAGACTCGTTATATATATATATATATATATATATATATATATATATATATATATATATATATATATATATATATATATATATATATATATATATAAATATATATATATATATATATATATATATATATATATATATATATATATATATATATATATATATATATATATGTGTGTGTGTGTGTGTGTGTGTGTGTGTGTGTGTGTGTGTGTTTAAGAAAGCTCTACTTATTCAGCTTTTTTTCATACAAACAATACAAACAAATGTCTTTCTCTTTCTTTATTTACCCATGTCTTGTGTTATCTCTTCTATATTTGGGAATTATAATCTTAGCCTTACTATTGATTTAACTTTTCATCTTCTGAGGATGTTTTTGCACTTCTCTTACAGGATTGTTTTTACTATTGCCTTGGAGATCCCGATTGTATCGGCTATAAATATTTCCCTAAAAGTTCTTGTATTAATACTTATACGGTTGGATCCACTGTTGACATAAAGAACTTTCCGGTGGACACATTTGTCTATCTTAAATGTGATAAATGTGAGTGTTAGTGGTTCAAATTTTACCTTTCATAAAATTAACTTATTTTGTTTTTTAATTTTAAAAATTGCATTACCAACACTATTGATTAAATGATAAATATTATTTCACGTGTAACACCTTTTATAATTGTAAGCTTATGTTTTATAGGTTTCGAGAAAAATAAACTGATTTTAATGAAAATTGTGTTTTACCATAGAAAACAGTTGGGGAAGACACGTCTAAACAGAAAGCAACAATGTACTGCCGGAGACTCGACATTTGTCGAATGAACTGCTTAGACAACTTGTATATATATTGGAAACTGTTGAATAAAGACTTGCATTCTCATCGTAGTGTCCTCTTTTAATTTTTTTAGTCATTGATACACTTAAGAATGTAGAATCGTGTAAGAAATATGCAGGTGTGTGTTCTTAAAAAATAGTGTTTAATGTAGAATGTAAAAATTACAGAATACACTATATGTATGTTTAAGTAGACTTGTCGGTCTTTGTTTCCCGGCTTGTATGTGCGTGATAATGTGGGAAGAATATTCGGCTCTTTATTGAATAACATTTTGTGAAGTAAGTTATGCATTTATAAGAGATGTTTCTTTAAAGACATTTTTTTAAAAATATGTACCTACTATATAAAAATATATGCTCGCCATGATGAATACAAATTAATCATAATGAGTTGATAAATATATCAAAGAAATCAAATGATAAAATCTTTAAATTTTGGATTACAAAAGTACAATTGTTAAAACTTACGAATTTAAGAATGGCTCTGTCTAAACTATATTAGCAGTAGGTTAGCAGTAGGTTGATTAACTTGTGTGACCCTCCATAGCAACACAGAGTCATTAGACACAGCTTGGGTGAATGACAGATTGGATGTCATTGTGTCTGTACTGCAGGATGTCAAATTCGCATACAAGTTTGTTTTTAAAAGACAAAGATTGTGTGACTACAGATGGGTTGTCATTATTTCTGTACTTCGAGTTGTCAAACATTAGTGCTGGATAAAAATAATATATTTCATTACCATAATATCTTGGTGTATTTAAATTTAACCTTTTTTAAGGTAGCTTAATTTATAAAATTATTGTTTTCTTAAATGAAGCAATATATGACAGTATGTGTTAAATAAAAGTTAGTTGAATAAATTATTTAACCGAGTAGAATACGTAATTGTAATGTTATCTGAATGTTTGGCCAATACTTACACATTATATTGTTTTTGGCTATGTTGAAAGATTCAAATTTGCTTATTATATTAAACTGGGTCAGTGGTCTAATTTAAATTTCGTCTATCTATAAAAATTATTACTAAAGCCATTCGCTTTTGAAAAAAAATATTAGTGGGATAAGATCATCTTGTGGTTACCGGAAATTGCTGAAAAGTTGATACAGAAATACAAATGTAATACACAGACACACAGAAACACATTACATACAAGATTGAAAAATTAAGTTTTTCCAACTCAAATAGGTCTAAAACGTCGATTATTTACACGTTTACAATACTTCCTCTATACTCCGTATATACGAGAAAGTATATATGTTGAAGACACGAATAACAATACTCAATAATTAACACACAACCATTTGCCTCACACCATAGCACACACTCTGGTTACAATTCTCGCGTGAACACTTATCGTTCAATGTAAACACACTCTTTAACCAAGGGTACCTGTCATTCAAACACACAACACACAATCAGGGGACGTAACAGTGATAAATCTATACTTTGCAATATCAGGTTAAAAAATAAAACTGTAATTAGATGTTTATTTTTTTAATTTTCTATCATTAAACCATCTTCAATGAATGATAGTACATGTCACATTGAAGTATTACTATTATAAATATGTATCTGCCCTTAAAAGCCAATGATGAAAACTGTAATACTAAAGCGAACATAACAAGGTAAATTGACGCTGAATTGCATACCTGAGGAAAACATGCCTTAGTAACATCAACGTCAGATCCGATGTTTATTAACAAAAATCGAGTTTTGTTTAAAACGCTCTGTTCTCATTACAGCGGTGGGATCGAGTCATGTATCTATTGCCCTTGTTATTGAATTGTATAAAAAATTAGATCGGATAGATTAAATAATGTCTGATGGAGTAGGTAAATCCTGTATTAGTTATTGTGGTAAAAGCCTCATCACTCATCATGGGTGACAGGACAAATGATCTCAGACAAAATATCTCAGACAATATATATACTGAGTTTATCAATGAATTTATTGCTATATGCTGAGACCATCGTTATGAAAAACAATTAGCGCAGCTGGAAATAAATTATGAGCGTACAATACAATAAGGCAAATTACAAATGCTTTTGTTTAATGGTTATCAGATATTTTGAGTACGTCTATAAGAATATATCACCCGCACGACCTAGTTTAAAAACCTAACGTCTTTTCTTGTTCAAATGAAATATTTGATGTTATTAATTAACATAACGCTACCACAGCATAATTCGATTAATGAAATAAAAGGTGTTCTAACATATGTTAACATATATATATATATATATATATATGTGTGTGTGTGTGTGTAAGTATATATAAATATATATATGTATATATATATATATATATATATATATATATATATATATATATATATATATATATATATATATATATATATATATATATATATATATATATAAATATATATATATATATATATATATATATATATATATATATATATATATATATATATATATATATATATATATATATATATGTGTGTGTGTGTGTGTGTGTGTGTGTGTGTGTGTGTGTGTTTAAGAAAGCTCTACTTATTCAGCTTTTTTTCATACAAACAATACAAACAAATGTCTTTCTCTTTCTTTATTTACCCATGTCTTGTGTTATCTCTTCTATATTTGGGAATTATAATCTTAGCCTTACTATTGATTTAACTTTTCATCTTCTGAGGATGTTTTTGCACTTCTCTTACAGGATTGTTTTTACTATTGCCTTGGAGATCCCGATTGTATCGGCTATAAATATTTCCCTAAAAGTTCTTGTATTAATACTTATACGGTTGGATCCACTGTTGACATAAAGAACTTTCCGGTGGACACATTTGTCTATCTTAAATGTGATAAATGTGAGTGTTAGTGGTTCAAATTTTACCTTTCATAAAATTAACTTATTTTGTTTTTTAATTTTAAAAATTGCATTACCAACACTATTGATTAAATGATAAATATTATTTCACGTGTAACACCTTTTATAATTGTAAGCTTATGTTTTATAGGTTTCGAGAAAAATAAACTGATTTTAATGAAAATTGTGTTTTACCATAGAAAACAGTTGGGGAAGACACGTCTAAACAGAAAGCAACAATGTACTGCCGGAGACTCGACATTTGTCGAATGAACTGCTTAGACAACTTGTATATATATTGGAAACTGTTGAATAAAGACTTGCATTCTCATCGTAGTGTCCTCTTTTAATTTTTTTAGTCATTGATACACTTAAGAATGTAGAATCGTGTAAGAAATATGCAGGTGTGTGTTCTTAAAAAATAGTGTTTAATGTAGAATGTAAAAATTACAGAATACACTATATGTATGTTTAAGTAGACTTGTCGGTCTTTGTTTCCCGGCTTGTATGTGCGTGATAATGTGGGAAGAATATTCGGCTCTTTATTGAATAACATTTTGTGAAGTAAGTTATGCATTTATAAGAGATATTTCTTTAAAGACATTTTTTTAAAAATATGTACCTACTATATAAAAATATATGCTCGCCATGATGAATACAAATTAATCATAATGAGTTGATAAATATATCAAAGAAATCAAATGATAAAATCTTTAAATAGTCATATGCTCTTTTGGATTACAAAAGTACAATTGTTAAAACTTACGAATTTAAGAATGGCTCTGTCTAAACTATATTAGGAGTAGGTTGATTAACTTGTGTGACCCTCCATAGCAACACAGAGTCATTAGACACAGCTTGGGTGAATGACAGATTGGATG